CGGCAGCGCGCGGCCCTGGGCAGCTGAAAGTCGAGCGTGAGGGAAACGGGTTGTGAGCGGAGCTTTTGGTGGAGATTAAAGATGCTTTGTGGATGGCAAAGGGGTTTGCAGGGCGAGGATGGTGACGGTTCGAGCGCTACGAGGGTCCCTCCGAGGCCGCAAGCTGCGGCTCTCCTCTAGTTTGACGCCAGGAATTTGAGCGACGCACGCTGCAAGGCGAGCAGGGTCGGAGCGTGCGTGCCCCAGGACCGGAGCCGGTGCGAGCCGGTGCTGCTGCTGCAAGAAGCCATCCGGCTGCTTCGTCCTGCTGCAGCGCTTGCTCTGCAATCCCGGGCAGGGGGTCCGGTCCGGGTTAAAGCCAGTCTCGGCCCGGTTAGTTCATAACCTGATAACGTTCAGGTTCGCCTCTGTGCCCGCACCGACAAAACGACAGCGGCGGAGGGCTGGCTTTGGCCACCTTTACACCTACCGTGGTGACACAGTTCAGTTGGAGGCTTTTCTGGGGTGTTGGGAGCAAAACGAGCTCAGCTACAAAACTCCTGGCTGAGCCTGGTTGCTGCTCGACTCAGATGCCGCTTCTGGAGTTTTTAAGCGTTAAGTTGTTTGGAGCATGTGCTGCAAAGATGGCACGGCAGCCCTGAAACTCTGCTGCCAGTAAGGCAAAGCAATTTTAAAATGATTCCCTAATAGTTGGCTGATCTGAGCAGGAGAGGTAAAATGGGAGCGCTGCGAAGGAGGAATTTGGAGAGCATCACGAGCCTTCTGGCCAAGGCTGATTTTTGCATCTTGCTGTGAAGAATGTGTGGGGTAAAAACAAGTTTTGGAAGTGGGCTGTGAGAGCTGGGGCTTGAGCACTCACCTGCGCTTTGGGGGAGAGGGGGTGCCAGGTACGTTTACCCTCCAGGTGTTTGGTGGGGAGCAGTTCTGTGCTGGTGCTTCGTGGTCCTGAGGCCATAGGGGGGTGATTTTTATGCTGAATTACCCGGTAGCGATGGCTTCTGTGTGTGAAGTCTGTGCTGGGCAGAATATTAGATGCCATCGGTGGTCCTGCGCTACGAGCCTGAGGTAGAGCTCATCTGCTTAGAGAGCTGTGTCACCTCTGTGTGGAGGCTGTCACGGGGAAACGAGTCTGCCGGCAGGTTTTCCAGCACCCCGGGTGGCATGGGGGAGAAGGTTGAAGGGGACAAAACCAGATGACCTTGTTTGGTCTCTTGTTAGTGAAGCCTGAAGCATGACTGAAAGCTTTTTGATGCCTTGTACATGACGCTTCTTGATGCAATCTCATGGTTCGACCCCTTAATGCTCCTTAGTGGAGAAGGTGGACCTTGGTTGGAGCTGCAGGGTGTGGGGTGGTGCAGCGGTCGCGTGTTGCATGGCTCGTGCTTAGAGGGTGAAGTCCTAACCGCCGTGAGGGATTCTCACCATGTGCCCTTGCAGAAGTTATTTAGCTTTCAGATGTTGTGTGTCCCTTAATGTGAGTAAGGAGGACCTTCAGACGCACCTGCTGCTTTGAAGCGTCCGTCACTCTGCCTGATGTCAGCTTGACGGAGTCGAGGTGAGACGTAGCCGGGTGTGATGACAGCTGCTGGGTGTCTTTGTTGGCAGGTGAAGGAGCTGGTTCTTGATAACTGCCGTTCGGACGATGGGAAGATCGTTGGTCTCTCTTCAGATTTCGAGAACCTGGAGTTCCTCAGCATGATCAACATCAACTTGCTGTCCGTCTCCAATCTCCCCAAACTCAACAAACTCCGGAAGGTGAGTCAGACCTGTGGTCCCAGCTCCAGCAGGCCTTGCTCTGAGACTTCTGCTGCCCTGTCCCTGGTCACAGTTGTTTTTCCTGCATTTGCCAGAAAAAGGCCATTTGATTTTGCTTTACCCTCTGCAGCCCACAACCTGAGCAAGTGAGAGAGGTGGTTTTTTAGTGCGCAACAAAATGCTCTTGAGCTTGTTACATGTCTAGTGTCCTTTCTCTCTTGCTTTTGCTGTTGTGCTACTGTCAGAGGCTTCAGTAACATCATAAATATTTTGCTGTTTAGAACATGCAGTTACAGCTAAGAGGACATGTACCCCTGTGTCCTGCGGTACGGAAGGGGCTGGGAGTGCTGTGTTACTGCGGGAAAGGGCTTTCAAGTGAAAACTTGAACTGCTTCTCTGCAGCGTGGTCTGACGAACAGGGTCTGGAATTTGGGTGCCCGTTGTAGTCCAGTTCTCAGGGCAAATTTATTTCATGTTGCAAGCCGAGATGCTTTGTGACCATGTGATACTCCCTTCTGGCAGCTGGAGCTGAGTGATAACAGGATTTCTGGTGGCCTTGAAGTTCTAGCAGAGAGAACTCCTAACCTGACACACTTGAATCTAAGCGGCAACAAGATCAAAGACATCAATACTCTGGAGCCCTTGGTGAGTGGAAGGCTGTGCTGGAGTCTAAGGGATGACGTTGTTTCCTTTGGGGAGCGTGTCTGTGTGGCAGAAGTCCAACGTCTTGGTAACTGTTCCAACAGCACTTCGTGGTTCTGATGGGAACAGATGAGTGGGTCCAATTTGAGGCTGGGCTAATAGTTAATGGCTCTTCTGTCTGGAAAACCAGCAGCCAGTTGCTAAAAGAAGCATGAAATTGGGCTGGATGAGTAAAACTGTGGATGCAGTGCTCAGTGTCCATCTGAGAAAGGACCGTTAATGGGTCGGATGCAGTTTGAGGTAGGTGGCACCTGGGGTGTCATGGAGATGAGTTGCTTGGACACCAGCGAGGGTGTCCATCGCATCAGTCCGAAGGCGCTGTTGTGCTGGGCTGGGACCCTCTCGCCCTGGGTGCTGTCACAGCATGCATTGCAGGGGGTTCCTCTTGCATCTGAACTGCCCCACAGAAGGCTCTTGCCTTGTGATCCTGACTCCGTAGCTGAAAGGTGTGAGTGGGGGCATTTGCCTCGTTAGCTTTTGCCTTTGCTCCCTCCGTCCCCTCCAGAAAGGGCTTGAAACTGGTTTACTCCTCCTTCGCTTGACCTGGCGCACGGTGCGATGGCCTGACTGGGAGAGCTGCTGTGGCTGTGCTGAAAGGCACACGGGGTGCAGTCTGCAGGCACTGTGCTTTGATCTCCCTGTGTTGTGCTCTCGGGTATTTTGCCCGATGTTTTGGGCAGGATGAGTCCAGCTCGGTGATTCCTCCTCCTTCGGGAGCTGGGCTTTCTGTGCTTGTTGCCCACCCCGTTCAGAAGGGAGTGAGGCAAATGGTTTCACAGGGAGCTGGCTCCAAGGAAGGGAACCAGGACAGAGGAGCTGAAAAGAAATCTTTGCCTACAGTTAGAAAGAGCAATAACTTCTTTCCATCTGAGGAGCATGTGGTGCAAATAATGCATGCAAAGACACTTCTGTACTAGATCTGGGTAGCAAACCAGCTGTCCTCTGATGGCTGCCTGATCTTCAAACAGTGTGAACTTGTAAATAATCTAACAAATTGATCTTTGCAGAAAAAGTTGCCAAACCTGCATAGTCTGGACCTCTTCAACTGTGAGGTGACAATGCTCATCAACTACCGGGAGAGCGTGTTCAAGCTTCTGCCCCAGCTCACCTACCTAGACGGATTTGATGCTGATGACCAGGAAGCCCCTGACTCAGACCCTGAAGCAGATGGGGATGGACTGGAAGACGAGTATGAGAATGGAGAAGGTGAGGATTTTCTCCTCCTGGTTTTCTTGCTAGGGACCAACCCCTTTTCCCTTTCTGCGTGGTCGTGTTGCTGAATAAATGGTGATTATAACTTGCCGCTAAAGCAAGGGCTGTCTGGGTAACCAGGCTGCGTAAGAAATGAGAGTTGCTGCAGGCCGACGGGGCTTGTTGCTGGCGCTCCTTGTGCACGCTTGCTCTGGGCGATTACCTGCCCACTGCTCACACAGCACTGGGGTTGGAGGTGCGAGCGTATTGTCTGGGAGTAGCGAGTACTTGAGAACCGTGACGCTCACCTTCCTCTCCGTTTGGTAGAAGGTGAGGAAGAGGATGACGATGAAGATGAAGATGATTTGGATGAAGAAGTCATTGATGATGAAGAAGATGAAGACGATGATCTGGAAGGTGAAGAGGAGGAGGACGGAGTAGATGATGAGGTGAGGTTTTCTGTCACCGGTATAGAGCTGCAGCACCACGTTGCCGTGTTGGGTAGCGCGTTTGTCCCTCAGTCGGGTGACCCATCTGACCAGCTGTCACAGGGGCCTCCGTGGGCAGATCTGAGGAGTGCCGCCGTGTGCTCCAGCTTTTCCCGTGCACCTTTTGACTCGTGGTCCACAGAGTTTGCCAGTTTAGACTTGTTTGTTGCTCGGCCTGGCACTTCCCGTGATAAAGCCCTACAGCCCCCTCCGTAGGGATGTAAGAAGCTGTTCAGGAACCGACAGGTCCTCCCTGCTCGTACCTGCCACCCTGAGGCTAGAGTGGGGTGGGAGCAGAGGTGAAGGAGGATGTTGCTGTGGGATTACACCTTGCTCATGGGATTGTGGTTCTTGCAACAAAGCGTCTTGTTTTGACTCCAGGAGGAAGATGAGGAGGAAGATGGAGAGGATGATGAAGAAGATGAAGCTGATGATGGTGAGTTGAATCCTAACAAACTAAGTGCTTGCAAAGCTGCCTCCACAGTCTCGCACATTTGCTGTTTTTGTAGAGCTTCCCAAGCTTCAGTGCAGCCTGTTGTTGCCTGCAGCTTTTTCCTGGTAGAAGGCGCAGCGTTTCTGCTTGCGGGCACCGCTGAAGCTGTTGCTTATGCCTGAGCTGACTATTGAATAGTGGTTATAACCAAAGGGTCACACAGTGGTGATGGGGAAACAGGTTTCAGTACCTCCTAGTACCAGCCACACTGGGTAAGTCTGCCAAATATTAGAGAGGCAAGTTGCCTAGAAAGCCAGTTCTAAGTAGCTTGAACTGATAGTCCGTGCAGGAGCTGGGCTTCTGTCACGGCAGCTTGTGTTAGCAGTGTGCGTGAGGAAGTGCTCTGGGAGACGCGTTCCTCTCTCGGCTGTAGAGAGGAGGGGAGACCTGAGCTGCTTGACTTGAGTCCAGGCTCCTCTGGTTATAACGAACTATAAACACCTGAATGAACGTTGACAGAATACAGTGGCTGGTGGGACTATGAGCTTAGTCAGAAGCAACTGAATTCTGCAGATGCTACATTTTTGGGGGGTGCTCAACAAAAAAAGCCCATTTTCAAGTGGCTGTTGAAACGTGGGATGCTTGGAGGGCGTAGAAAATAGTTAATGTCTCGTGCTAGCCCAGGCTTTTCTGAGTGCCATGAGAAACTGGGCAGGGTGGATCTCCGCTCTGTAATGGTGCCAGTCTAGTCTGTGCTTGTTCACCGCAAGCTGTGGCTGACGTGGCTTGAAGCCACAGTTCAAACACTGTTCCGCAAGACTGAACAGAGCTTCATGCTTCGCCTCTTTTTGCAGACCTTCCGCGAGGGGAAAAGAGAAAACGAAATCTAGAGGATGAAGGAGAGGAAGATCCAGAAGACGAAGAGGACGATGAGGATGACTGATCCAAGCGAGCCAATCAGTTTTACAGACTATGACTGTGCTTGTCTTAACCTCCCTGTTGTGTCTATGTGAGACTGTAAATCCCTGTCTCCCACTCCTCCCCCCTTTGTATGGCTGCAGCATCCACAATATATTTTTTTAAGATGTAGAATACTGTAGGCATTCAGGGGAATCTTCCATACAAGGCTCACTTTCTCACAAGTATCTCATGACCAAAGGCTTTCTCCGTTCTGTGGTTTGTGCAGCAGTTTGCAAAAGGTAAACCCATATTTGATCTGATGAAGCCAGAAAAAAAAAAAAGAAAAAAAAAAAAAAAAAAGCAAAAAAAAAAAAAAAGAAAAAAATTTCCTCCTAGGGTATCTTTCGTGTCTGAAATCAGCCTTGCCACACTGGACCCAGAGCTCCAGCTCGCCACCCTGCCTGACAACAAAGAAGGCGTTTGCTATCCGCGTGCCCCCAGACCAGCTTTCTGAAGACGCTTGAGCCATCTTGAGCAGTGGGTGCAAATCTGGTTCATCTAAATGGACTCAAAGCGAACGAGGTCTCTCTGATCAGAAATAATGGTGATGTGATCTCTGGAGATGCTTGAAGATCCTTTAGTGCTGGGGATGCGGGGTGCCTGGGGTCTCGGGGAGGGGGGGTTGGCTGCTTGCAAGACCTGGTACCTCTGACGACGCACCTTGCAGTAGCCCTGCACTTGCTTTCCTATTTTTTTTTTTATAAACTGGAACATTTTTCCTGGTGGCCACCTAATAACTTGCACTTGGATGTCCAAGTAAGTCCGATTTTTTGCGGCTGTGAGCGTCTTCGCTGTGATGAGGCTTCTCATCACCCCGTAGCAGCCTCTGCCTTTAGGAAGAGATAGGAAATAGCAGGTTAAGGGATACTGCACTTCTGTCAAACTCCATTTCGCACTGTACAGAACACGTTCAACCAGTATCACTGTGATGCACCTAACTCGGCGTTCCCAGGGAGACCGTGTTAGCCTATATATTCTCAGGGTCCTTCTGCTAGCCAGTACCAGCTCTGGACAGTTGCCTCCGCGCTAGCCTGGTGTACGCGTCCTCCTCCTCTTTCCTTTTCAGCGTGAAGCGCAGCGCATTGATCAGAAATCCAGCGCTCTCCCACTCGTGTTCGTGCTCCGTGGGAGCGCAGATGGTGCCGCAGAGCACGTGGCCCCCCGCCCTGCGGCGGCTGGAAGGAGGAAGGGGGGAATTCAGCCAGGCGTAGCTCTCCGCCGGAGTGTTTCTGACCCCTCGCCCGCCCTTCCTCTGCCTGGAGGTGTTGAGCCGGCACATCCGTTAGCTTCTGGGGAGAACTGACCCCGTGGCATCCGAGGGATGGTAACTGCTCAGTGCTGGGTGCCGGAGAGCCGTGCTGGGGCGGGAGTAACTGCTGTTCCTCCTGCTGTCGAGGCTCTCGGCGGGTGCGGACGCACTGGCACTTTGTGGCGTTCCCGGTGGTTGCTCTGGGCAATCTGTCGGCACCCGGCGCTCGGAGGTGAGACTCGCAGCGGTTCCTTCAGAGGAGTGGTGTGTGTTGCAGCACATCCGAGTTTCTGTTGCTTTGTTCTGTTCTTGCTGTTGTTTCTTGCATTGTACAGTAGCTGTAACCATTCGGAGAAGAACTAGTCCTGTAAAATGCAAACTGAGTAACTTATAAATGTTAAAGGAATTTTTAAAAGAAATTTCAGAGCAGCAGTTACTTCTAATTTTTCCCTGCATTTTTAGCAGATTGTATGGATTTTTTATTAGCCTAGTAACTGTCAGGTTTTGATTGGTCAGACTAGTCCCAGAAATAAGGATCTCCAGCCCTTTTGTATCTTTTGTTACAAAATTTGGATAAAACTTTTAATAAAGACTTCAGTTTTTAAAAATCCATTGCAATGAACGTTGTCTTCGCTGCATCTGCTCTAGGAACATCTGAGCTGCAGCCAGCCTGCAGGAACGTTGGTGGAAGTTTTTGGGGCGGTTTTTCTTGCATCTCTTCGGGGAGCCGTGGCTGTCCTGTGCCCCCAGCACGGCCTGGTTTTGCCCCGAGCCCCAGCTGGGTGCATGCTCGGTAAGTGCAGCTCGGCTGCTGGGGCTGATTTGGGAATGCCGGGGCTGCCTTGGGATGGGGAGCGGGGGCTCTGGTGCGGGGTGCAGCGGCGCGGACCATCGTGCAGAGGAGCCCCGGCACGAATGCGCCTGCAGGACCTGCACAGGAGGGCGCAGCCGCTGCTGTGCCGCTCGCTCTGCCTTTGGAGGTGGCCGCAGCCGGGCTCACAGGGTCAGGGAAATGTTGGGAAAGGGTCCCGCTGCTGAGTTTTAGGGCAGGTGCCTGCGTTCTGCCCTGGAGGGAGGAAACTGTTGGGGTCTGAACGCAAGGCAGGGAGGAGGAACCCCGCTGCAGGCTGGGCTGGGGGCTCAG